ACATGAGGCTAGGCACTAAGGAAGGAGACAAGGATTTTCATCAGCTGACTAGAGCTTGAAATCAAAGCTACCAAGGATATGCAGAAAAGCATGTGAGGTTGGTGCAGGACATGAATGAAGTAGTAGGCGCGACTTCTCAGAATGGGCTGACTGAGTGCAGCATGGTTAAGATCTTGGAGAAGCTTACGGCTGCTGTGAATACTCAGAATAAGACCTCTGAGCGTACATTGGATTACATCACGGAGAAGTTTCCCATTCTATGCAAGGCCACCTGGGTTGGCTGGAAGCAGGGTGAAGGACACATTTCATTGCAGGGCAACCTGCATGTGGCGAATAAAGCCTTGATTGATTGATTGAGATTGGGTTCAAGGTGGGGGGGATTAAATCATTAATTGGTTCTGAGCCCCTTCATGTTTGCATTGTTGATGGACAAATTGACAGATGAGGTCAATTTGTCCAGGAGTCTCCGTGGGCTGTGATATTTGTAAATAATATTGTGATCTATAGTGAGAGTAGGGAGCAGGTGGAAGAGAGTCTGGAGAGGTGGAGGTATGCTCTGGAGAGAAGAGGAATGAAGGTCAGCAGAAGCAAGACAGAAGGCATGTGTGTGAATATGAGGAAAGCAGATGAAATGGTAAAGATGTAAGTTGGTAGGTGAAAGGTAGACAAGTTTAAACACCTGGGGCCAGCACAAGAAAGGCGACGAAAAGAGTGCGGGCAGGGTGTAGTGGGTGCAGACAAGTGTCAGGTGTCTGCAGCCAAGCTGGAGGTGACAGAGTTGAAGATGATAAGATTCGTGTTAGGAGTGACGAGAAGGGATTAGAGAAGGACAGCTCAGTTTGAGCAGTGTGGAGACAATGTAAGAGTGACAAGACTAATGTAGTTTAGACATGTCCAGAGGAAGGTTATAGCAGACATTTTGGACAGGATGTTAAAAAAAAATTTAAATCAGGGAAAGGGAAAACTTAAAGGGTGGCTAAAGTGGTCACAGGTGTTTGACGATGTGGCTGCCGACTGAAGTTGCAGGATGAATTCTGAAGTGTATAGGGCTGTACTCTGCTCACACTCAGCCACTTCCATTTGATTTTCAATGATAATGACCCAAAGCACATATAAAAGCAACATATAATTTTCTCCAGGCAAATGAATGGTATATTGTGCATGTGCATGCTTTTTAGTTGCTGAGGACAAAACTGAAGGCAGAGAGAACAGATGCACAAATGAGCAGCAACAACAGGGGGCTATAGTAAAGGCAGAGTATCTCAAGGAAGTAAACACAGCATTTGGTGATGTCTTTGGGTTCAAGACTTCAGGCAGTCATTGACTGCAAAGGATTTTCATCAACTATTAAGAACAATCTTTTATTTAAAATGAGAATTGGAGACTGTTAAAACAGCGGTAACTACTAAACAGTTAATCCAATACTTTTGTCTGTACTTTAATCACATCCTGATGTGCCTCTTTCCAAAAACCTACAGGCATAACTATAATGTCTAGCAACTTTTTCTGAAAGTGCAGACTAATAACAGTTTTATTTAGCTTGCAGCTACGTTATTATCAGTGCAAGCTAGATTAACAAACCTCAGTATATTTACATTAATATTAGAAATAGCAGTAAGCAAAGCTGATTAGATACTATTAAATGCAAAAATTGAGCAAACATTTTCCAACTTGTTAGTCTCCCTCTCTTTTCTTTTGTCTTTCTTCGACTCTCTCTCGTTTGCTAACACCAACCCGAGATAATCACCCTAAAGCAACAACCTCTATTAAATCTGTAACACTATTTCACAGTTGTAGAGCAATACAAGCCACAATGCATACAAACGATTCCAAGGCTAAATTATTCTTCACCAGCCCCGTTAGGAAGATTACGGCTTAAACAGGCACACACTTGGATATTCAATATGTACACAATTACTGCACCGACAAATGAATCACACAATGTTAAACAATGTGGCCAAGCTATTACCTATGATATATTTAATTCAAACAAACTATTTAGTAGTTAAGAGACATTGTGTGAAATCTTAAAAAAAAATTAAAGGGTAGTAATTTGTTTGGTAATTGGTTACTGTCCCTAACAATCCTTTCCCCCCAACTATCAACACTAAAGCTGTTAAGGGTGATTGTATCTAATGTTTAGACATTTCATTTTTTTAGTAAATGTTCAGAAGTGTTCAGACCCAAAAGTAAAATGTGAGGGATTTAAGTGAATTTTACATGATAGAAATACTGAAACTGAGAAAAGCAACATGATATGTGAAATCTCAACACATATCATGTTGTGTTATCTTTTCTGTCAGAAAACAAACCTCATAAGAACCGAGAACATTACTCACACGATGCTACTGTATAGTACAGTAAAACCACACTACTTTATTAGGCACGCATGTTCAACTGCTCCTTAATGCAAATATCTAATCAGCCAATCACATGGTAGCAACTCAACACATTTAGGAATGAAGACATGGTAAAGATGACCTGCTGAGGTTCAAACTGAGCATCAGAATAGGGAATAAAGGTGTTTAAGTTACTTTACATGCGGCACGGTTGCTGGTGATATACGTGCTGGTTTGAGTATTACGGACACTGTTGGGATTTTCTCACAGAACCACCTCAAAGCTTTACAAACTATTGTCCAAAAAAGACAAAGAAATCACATTCAAATATAAAAAAAACCCTCATGTGTGTCTATTTATTTCAACTCTTCTTACAATGTGTTGTTTATATTTGCTTTTGGAAGGACAGCTTCAGTGCTGCTACTGACAGTGTGTGACTTATCAGGCTCTTTCATACATATCTGAAAAAAGGTCTGAAGTGATTTGATTGAAAACACTAATGCAGTGAAGCTGATAAATCTGTAGTTCTGACTGACAAAAGTACAAACTGTCTCTGATGAGTTCTGAGATTTAAACAGGGACAGCAGAGCAATCGAGAAAAGCTGCAACAAGGTTGCGAGGCGCCTCACAGAAAAAGAAATACAGATGTCAACATCTGGATTCCACCAGCTGCTTGAATGAGACCAGAATGAAAATGTGTAAATAAAACTGAAAACTAATTATACACAATAATAATGCTCAATATTGTGCTTTTAACTTCTGATGTGATGAAACTGCTAGTGTTTACTCGCCTGACAAATCCAAGCTTGAATTTCAATGTCGAGTTATCTACTTATCTTTTCATTTTATCAACCAGTCTCTTTTTCTCAGACCAAAGACCAACACCCTGGAGTCCCCTATTCTCTGTTGACACTGAGCC